TCTCCTTTGCAGGATTGCTTGGGGCTCTTAATACACTCTCTCTTATTTATATAGCTCCAAATTCTGATGTTAGACATAAATATGAAAGAGCCTTGATAAAAACGACATCTGAAGCTTAATTCGGCCCTTCGTTAATGGAGCTGTTCAACACAGCAGTTCCCATTTGTGCTCCTGAAACCAGAAGGCAGCTGGAAATAGTAAATTGGGTGGTTTTGCTTTTTCAAAAGTCATATTTTAAAAACTGTTCTGAGTATTGATTCTGTTATGCTTCATCTTTGTAGTTACACTCTTACAAAGGCGTGGATGAGCTGCAGCTGCTGGAGGGGCACGTGGTGGAAGGTAACCCTGTGTGTGAAATCTGAAAGACCTGATGGCAAACCAAGGCATTCCTCTGGTCACATCCCACAGAAAAAAAGGTGATTTAAATCATCTCAGGCTGGGCAGATCCTGCCTTGCACTTGGGCATCTGGCAGTGAAGCTCACGTAAGTACCTGCTCCTCGTGTTGGGCTCCTCTGCAGACTTTTCGCTCACATTTGGATGGGTGGCCAGCCATGTTTCCAAAAGATAAACCAAAGAGACAACACAATCCTGGCATAAGATAATAAAAAGCTTTTTTTTAAGGGTTTGGATAAAAGTAGCCCTGAGTGGAGGCAAGAAAGCACCCCCAAATCTCAGGTTAGGGATCTGTCCCTGTGCAGTTCCCCTCCCACTGCTGCCTCCATGGCTGCAGATGAGGGAGGAAGGCTGGGAAGTTAATTTGCCTCTTGATTAAGACTCCAAATGTCATTTCTACCTGACATCAGGGCTGTGCCTGTGCTCTCCATCCCCAGCCACTCCTGGCTCCTCGCTCCCATGCCATGATACCAGCTTGGAGCTGGAACACAGGGCAGGTCCTGGTTGCTGACCCTGCCAGCACCTTCCTGCCTGCAGCCTTCCCAGAAAAACCTCTTTAGAAACAGCCAGAGAAGTGATACTGACCTTTTGTCTTTCACAACACCATCAGCTTTTGGTGTAAACACAGAGTTCATGGGCTGGGCAGTTACCAAGAAAGTCACTGACCAAGGGAATAACAAATAAATACCAGAAATAAATAAATACAAGAAGATGGTGTTTGAGCTCTGGGGGTCTTTTTGGAAAATGGGATAAAAATGCCTCACAAAGAAAAGGGCAGTCAACAGTTTATGTCCTGGAATGGCCATATTACAGGGAAGGTGGCTTCCTGGAGTGTCCAGAGGTGACACACCACCAGCCACATCAGACCCTCCCAAATTTGGTATTTTTTCACAACAGTGGACAGTTGCTTCTAAAATTCATCCCCTCACCACCTGCTTCTGTCTGCATGGAAAACTAACTCCTCCCTCCCCAGCATGCAGGACAGACTGTGGGGAAGCTGCTTCCTGCCCGTGATGGGAAATGCCTTGGAGGAATCTCCAAGGTTCTGATGTCTGACGAGCACAGGGCAAAGCCAGAGAGCACCAAAGCACCACCACCTCATCTGAAGAGACAGGAATGGAAGGCAGAATAGAAGCAACAGGAGTGGGGGGATAAGCTATTTACATTTTTTAGGAGTTTCTACTCATTTTCTAACTTAGCTCACACCTTCTCAAGCACTGATGTCACTTCACAGGGCACCACCAGAAACACACAAAAAAAGCAACTGGCTTAGGATATTTTTTGTCTATGTTTTGCCTCAACAACTTTTTCAGCCTCTGAAGGTACAACTTCCATTTTTACAGGAAGAATGTCCCTTTGGAGGTTCAATCACCTGCATGAACCTCTGCAGGGGCCCAAACACCTTCCCCTTTTGTGGGGGCAGCAGCGTCGATGGTTTATTCATTTCCAAAATGCTTCCAACCAATTTGTCTTTTTTTTTGTTTTTTCTTCCTCTTAGCATTTCTGGGCACACAATATTGAGCAATAATAACCAGAGGAGGATGAAAACTGCTGCAGCTTGAGAAGTGAGCTCAGGATATGATTCCTCCTCACCGGATGCCTGGAAGATGTCACTGAAATTCTCTCTCCCTTAGTGCAACCCGTGTGGAGCCAATATGAACTCCCAGCAAAGTGCTTAAAAAGCCATTATTTATAATAACTGTTAAATGATGAGACATTGTTTACCCAGATTGTAAGATAAATTCTCACTTACAGAATGCTTCCCTGACCGTCCTGAACGTCATCTGGTTTTTATTTAAATGCAAAATGAAATTAGGCTCCCAATAACACAGCAGAAGAATTCAATAAGATGGGGCTTTTCACTTACAGTTTAATATTAACATTTTCTCATAAATGTTAATGAATAAAAGTCTACTGTTTTATGTATTATCCATGGTGGGGAGACAGCAGGCTAGGAATGGAAGGGAAGCTAATCTTTTCATACCACAAATTAGGATATATACTTCAAGGAGAACTAAGCGTTCCCAGCATTGCCAGGGACCTGGCCACAACCCTGCTTCCTCTGGATCTGGTCCCACAGGGATGCTCCAGGGAGTCTCCTTCCCCACTGATGAGTGAGATCCTCCCTCAGTCTAAATCCCCTTTGGGTTCGTTTCTCCTTTTCCCCATCCCTCTCCCCTCCTGCCTGACCATATCCCCTAAGACACCCTACAAGCATCAGACAGCCACCACCACCATCAGTCAAGGCCTGCTATTCTCAGACTCCACCATGGACAGCAAGGCAGGGTTATGGCAAAAAACAGATTATTTGTCTGGTATTCTTTAAGAGAAAGGGATGATGAGAGGTGAGGGCAGAGCCCAACAACAGCAAATGGCACAGCATCCAAAGGTGTGGGAGAAGGACCTGGAGATGGCAGAGGTGGCACCTTGGGAGCTCACCAAAGGAACTGTGCCTGCTGATGCCAAAGCAGGAGCTTTGGATCCTGCTGTGGAAGAGGGGCTGAGAGCACTGGAGGCTGCAGGGCCAGAGGGTTGGCTCACACCAGGACATTTGCATTCTTTTGGCTCTTGACCTTCCATTTACTGCTGGGGGTTTTGCTGTGTTAATGTGTATTTTGCTGTTTGGTGACTCATGCTTCATCCTACCTCCCTAATAAGTGTTCATTTAACAGTTTGACTGCTTAGCAATTTATTGCACAAATGGGTTTCCATCCCACAGCCTCCTCTCCCATCTCCCCCGGAGAGGGTAATGCATACTTTATGAGAGCTTTGTGATGGCCTGTGCTGCACACCCCAAAAATCAGCAAATCCCAAACAGCTCTCCAGGGCTGCTGGGCCTGGGAGGAGGGACAGGAACTGTCTTGTCTTTATTCTGCCACCACCTCAGCAGCTGCAACAAGTTTTGGCTCACAAAACAGCTGTAAAAATACCAGTTCTGGTTCAAATGCTGGGAGACGAGGGCTCTTATACTTACTAAGAGAGATATGCTTGCCATAAGTCGTATTCTACATAAAAATACCATGCAAAGAATCCTACAAGGAATGACAAGGTAATTACAGAAATTAGAGATGGAAAAATCCTGTAGTCTCCTGCCCCCCTGCTCAGTGTGGGACCACTCGGTGTGGGGCAGACTTCAGGCCTCAGACTTTTAAAGGGAAGATTTAATAAACACTGAGAAATATTTCTAAATATTTAGAAAACTCAAAATAACAGATTTCCAAGCCAAGCTGTGCAAACAGAAAATGAATTTAGAAAACTTGTTAAAAAATCAACAGCTTTTGCTGTTGTGCACCAAAATATATTTCTTTGGGTTAGCAGGCATCGCCTCATGGGCGGGATGCTGCATGTGGAGCTGGGAATTCCCTGTGGGAATACCTACCGTGGCTCTCCTCTTGTTCCCCCTGGAATTAACAGCAGAAGCCTCAGGGATGCAAACAGCTGAATGCTTTAGGAGGGACTCAGCAGACAGTCAAATGTGAGCAAAGCCAAGCGAGACACGACAGAGTTTTAAATTTTCCCATGAAATTCTGGAGTATTGCAGTGAATTTGCTTCATCATTAGGAGGAAAAACAACAACGCAAAGGAAACCAAAACAAACCCCATCACAATAACAAATCTCTAAGGAGAAAGGGAACTGTGTCTCTGCTCGCCACTCTGAGACAAAGCACTGCAAGGAAAATGTCCAGTTCCAATAATGTCGTAACCTGATTACAGCCTGACCAGAAGAGCTAAAACACTTGCAGAACAATGAGTAAGGAATTAAGTTTTAAATTGAGTGCTGGCCCTATCTCGTGTCACTTCTTTATATTCCAGGAGAAAAGGACACTGCTGAGCTCATTCCACCCAGAGCAGCGTGGATGCCTGGATGCAGGCACCATTTAGTCATCTCCTACGTGTTCCTCCCCATTTCTCTCTCCGGGAGGAACGACAAATCCCGAAATGTGACTGCACTTTGCTTTATTATGATATCGATTTTTCTGCAAAGGGAAAAGTGCATTTGTCCCCCAGGTCTGTGCGCTGGCAGGAAAGGGTTAACAAAATGTTTATCACAAAGCTGGCTTCAGAGTTGAAAGTAATGTGATCAGTAATGAATTTTGTGTTACATTAGGTTGTATAAATGGACAGACAAGCGCAGACAACAAGTGGCCAGGAGTCGGGGCTAATCTAATGATGTAAAAATAGAGACAGCACCAATTATACTTGGGGCCAGCTCAGAGCTCCTGCAGGGACTGCAAATGAATAGGTACAAATCAAATTACTGACTAATAGACGCACTACAAGAGAGGGCAGTCAATGCTAAATACATTAGGGCCTTGTGACCTCTCTGCTCTGAACAGCAGAATCCTAAATTTGACTTAAATTAAAAAAAAAAAAAAAATCAAAGAAACTCTTGTTCGTTTAAGGAGAGAAACAGAACAATGTTATTTGTGAAATGACTTGAGACACTTTGATTTTTTTTTGTTTTTTGGTTTGTCCCCCTACAGCCACGTTAGGTACATGTAAGCCCTTGGAAAGCTGAGAGAGGGTTTGCTTTTAGAACAAGGGAAAAAAAAATATTCTTTGTGCAAAAGTTAAGACCTGATAACAATACAGTTGTGTTACATACCAAAACATTTCAAAGCCATGTGCCTCTTTGGGGTGATGTTTTTTACTGCTACTTCACCGGCTGTGTCTGTATCAAAAATAAAATATTTCTTAAAAAAAATGCCTTGATTTAATAAGAAGAAAAAGAGAAGGAATCTCCCCACACCACAATTGATAATAAGCAAATGCAGTTGATCAACTTGTTACCAAGTGGCAGAAAGTCAGAGCTGTCTTGTGGCTTCAGTGCTCCCTTTAGAATTTTTCTACAAACAGCAATGAACTTAAATTCCCACCAGAAACATTCATGGTTTCAGCATTCACATCCCCCTCCCCCTTAAATAATGTATGACCCAGAAGAACTTCCACTAAAAACTCCCAAGGTTGGTGGCAAAATGGATTTGGAGACCTGAGAAACTACAGGGAAATGAAAAATGCTCCTCCTAGCCCTGTCAGGGCACTGGGATGGGACTGCTCAGGGACACCCTTGGGCAGGAGAGAGCAAAAAGCCCAGGCTGAAGTGCTCAATGCCCCAAAATGTGTGCAAGGCCAATGTTCCTCTTGTCCAGCACTTCAAAAATAGTGGCTCCTAAAGAGCCTGAATTTTCCTTCCTTTTAAACGAGGCCCATCCAAATAAACCTTTTGCAGGAAGAACTGCACTGAGCTCTTCGACTTATTTGAGGGGGTAATTTAATCTCTGACCCTGGGATGAATATTCTGAAAGTTCAAAGGCTGCTTTTAGCATGGATGTTATTTGATCCACCAGTGGGTTTGCTGCCCCAGCTGGTTTTGCACTGAACCTGTGCAGAAACCTCTTGGCTGAAATGCTCTTTGGAGGGAAAACCCACTGCTCCGTGTTCCTGTGTTCCTACAGCCCGTGTCTGAGTTGGAATTAGGACCAGCTGAGGAGAGAGAAGGGGAAAACTGTCTTGGATAAATTAAAAGGAAGAGGAAGGAAAGGAGGGAGAGAGGGAGGAAGGGAGGCAAGGAGGGAAAGGTACCAATGGAAGCTCTGACTCTATAAAGGGCTAATCCTGTTCCTGAAACTAAATGTACAGATACATCTATGCCCAGGTGGCTGCTGATCTTTGAACACAGCTTGTGAGCACAGATATCTTTGGAAAAATCCCCAGGAAGGATGTTCCTTGCACAGGAGTCACTGGCTCGCTCTCCTCCCTCCGCTTCCCACCTCACCCAGGCACACCGGGAAACGTGTGACTTCACTTCTCCAACCCCCAAATTTCACATTAAGATCTCAGAATCATCCCCTGCAAATCTCAGAGGTGTCCAGACCCTGAGTTAGGCTCAGGCTGGTGTAGCCACACGGTGTTTTGGCTGAGGACCAGGATCCCAAGTGCCCGGAACATCGATCCCGGGTTTCCTACGGGCTATTCCCCAACAGCACGTCTAATTAGCTCCACTTACTTACATCCCATTAATCAGGTTAAAGAGTTTGCTTCAACATATGAGCTTCCTTCATCGCATTATGAGTTTGTTCATGAAGTTTGGAAGGAATCCAGATGGTTTCCTCCGAGGGCCAGAGGTGCAACTCACCGCTGTGCCATGGGCTTCCCACGGGCTTGGAGTTTTGCAGGAGTTTTGGAAGAAATATATATTTCAAAAAAAAAAACCCTATCCTGTTGCTCAGGCTGTAATGGTTTGGCCCCCTATGATAGACTGATTTCAAATATTAAGCCTAGAAATTAGCAAAATGCATTTGAAAGCTTGAGAAACGTACTTGCTGAAGCAATAGGTGAATCAGAGGATTTACTGATTACTAAACAGTATTTTTGGAGGAAAAGATTTCTAGCCTGGGCTGGCAATTTCTGCATGTCCAGTTGAAGTGGAATGCTGTCAGAGATATTTGTCTCCTGAAAGCACAGTTTTATAAATCACATAAATCTTTTTTTTGGGGAATGCACTCTGAAGTTCCAGCACACACTCAGAAGCTGCACTGCAAATGTAAATATTGTAGCTGCTTGAAAACAAAGCTTTGCAAGCAAAAGAGGGCACTGACCACTAACATTTGGTAGTAGACCTAATTTTTTTTTAATTCAGTGAGAGTTTGACAGAAACAGCAAAAACATCTTTTTGCATCTTTGCCAATTTACGCCCTCTTCGGAATGAAATGTGTATCTGGGCTGACAGCTTATGTACAGCAGACTCCACTTAAGATAGACATGGGTCGTCTGGATAATTGGATAACAAGGAGAAAAGCTGGTTTCCCAATCAAGTCAACTAGCTGGATGACTGGAGTTATCATTTAGGTCACAAGGAAAGGAGATTTTTTGGGGGGGGTCACTTTCCAGACCTGGTTCTTCTCCCATCCACTGTCCAACAGCCCTTGGCAACCAGTTGGAGTTGGAGGTGGGAAAGACCCATCTAATTGCCCTTCCTTGCAAATGCCAGATTATCCCTCATGTTTTTAGCATCCTCCAGTGTGATGTTTCTGGTATGACCCATCTCTGGGTCATTTCTGCCTCTGCCAGTAGCCAGGACCCAGGGTTAGCGTTGCCATTCCTGCTTTGCAGTGCAAGGGGGCAGGTAGGAAACAAAGACCCTGCAAATATGTCCCCCCCCTCAGGTCTGTGCACCACAAGCACATGCTTCCTCCTCCCTCCTGCAGCATATCAGCCCTGATTACTATATAAATCTACGTGTCAGCTATGCCCTAACAGTTAAGGCATTAAAAGAATCTATTTATCTCCTGCCATTAAGTGCATGTCAGGGCCAGTTGAGCACTTGACAAAGTCTCACTGTCCACCCAACTGCCCATTTTTTGTCCACACAGTGGACCTGTGCACTGCACATGCTCCATCTGTTGACATTCCGAGTCAGAAATGTTCATTAATTCGTGCTGCATCTCGAGTAAGACTTTGCAAGTTTCGTTAAATCTCTGCAAAGTCTATTCAAGGACTGAAGTGAATCCAAGGAGCACCAATAGGGGTTACAGCGTGCATAACATAAAGGCATGAGCAAGTTAAAATAAGCCATTTTAGGATTATTAGAAGGAAGATTATAACTTCCACAATTCTGAGTGCAATGCAGAAATATAACCACTGGTTTTAGAAGCAGCACCAACATAAAAATCAACTACCAACAAGCAAACCTACAGCGTGTCCTTTTCTGTTGAACTCTTTGCTGTCCTTTTGCTGCAGTGAGTGGGCAGCAGAGAAACCAAGGGAGAAAAGTGCATGTTTTCAAAGCTAAGTCAGTTCAGCTGAGGTTTGGTTACGATGTGAGTGGTTTGGGGGAAGTGAAAACTCTCCAACAAAGACACCTCTTTGAAGCAAGGGTAATGCAGCTCCACACTTATCTTTCCCCATTTATTAAGCAGCAGATGAGCCCTTCCCTGCGCTCCCAGCCTGAGGAACGGTGCTGGCAGTGAGTGCCAGTTGACTCCCTGGGCAAGTGCAGCTCTCCAGGTACCATCTGAGCAGGAGAGAACTTTTTTATGTCTGTCTGGTAAGAGGAGCAGCTCAAGAGCTGTTAGGGGATGGAAGTGGAAAGGGCACGGGAGTTCAACGCCTTATCACTAGGTTTTCTCTGCTGCTCTGGGTCACCACATGCCCAGATCCTGAGAATAAAGTGTGTTAGTGGTAGAGAGGATCCCACAACAGGCAGGAAAACCCAGAGTGTTAATGGGAGAGGGAGGAGGGCGGTGGGATGGGGTGAGCTGGGTCAGTGCTCACGTTACTCATTATTGCTGCGCACATTTGCTGCTCTGAGTTGGCACCCACCTTACCCTCATTAGGGAGATTTATGTGTCTAGGAGTAAAAGCAAGGAGAAACTTCTTTGGATGAATTTTTGCTCAGTGATGGCACCCCTACAAACAGCTCCTTGCTGCCTTTACACCTGCAGTGCTGTGAGCCTCATCCTTTTTGCCAAAGAGGTTGGCTCTCACTGCCATCAGCTGGGCTTGGTGGAAATGGAAGGAAAATACAGGGCTCTGCCTCCGACAAAGTTCTTGGTTTACAAGATAATAGACTGTGAAGTCTCCAGGGCAGTGAGTCACCTTAGCTTGGCACGTCTGGAAGGCTTCAGCTTTCAGAGAAGGTATTCCCCTCACCTTTCCCCTACCATCCCCAGCCTGAGGGGTGCTGACCCTTTATCAGCAGTGGATACCCTCCCAAAGTTCACACTGATCACAGTGGGGGTCAGTAAGTGATGAAATATGTGCCTTTCTCTATTTTCACAGCCTGTTTTTTCCACCTTCCCAGCCCTTTAGAGACATGAGCTGATTAAACTCCACACCAGCACGGTGAGGCACCTCCACCCTCACTGCAGTGATGGAGCTCTGGAGTCATGGACACATGAAGTGCCTCATCCCAGGGAACAGGCTGGCGAAGAATTTGCACCAAATCTGTGACAGACTCAGTCTTCAACCAACTCTTTTTGTTAATACCAAATCTTAAACCATCCTTTGACTTCATCTTTCCCAAGATGGAAATCAGAGGAGAGACAGCTGGAAAGGTGATCAGCTGTGTTACAAGGGCTTGAATTCTGCTCTGAATCGTCCTCCTCCCAGACTGTGGGAGGTAGATGCAGTTTTGTACCTGCTGTATGTGCTCAAGGGTGACCCACCTGCAAAGCAGGGCAGGAGCTCTGGTGGGAGAGACCCTGAGCCTTCTGGGGGAGCAGGAAGAGCTCAGAGCAGCACAAGACCCTCAGCAATACACGAGGGCAAGAGCAAAAGGAAGAGACAACTCCTGCCCCACAAAGCCTTCCTGAAAAGATCCAGGGGCTGGCATTCCCACACCTTCCTGCCAGAGTTTCTCCTCCTTTTCTTTCCTGGGCAAGCTGCCAGAAGAGCAACAAGTGAGTTGGCAGCTGATGTCAGGGGCCACCATTACTGTGGGGTGTTTTTACTAGAGGTGTTTTTCAGAACAAGCCGAAATTAATGGAGACAATAAAACCGCAATAACTGCACTTTAATTTCTGAGCATCTCCTACCACCGGGCCCCTCCTGACAGCATAATCTCTGACGTGCCGTTCCATTTACTTAAACAGATGATATAATTTATCAATATAATGGACACTGATGAAGATGGATTAATTTGGATTACAGAACCAGCGGCTTGTGTCCTATTCAGGACACAAAATGAGGATATGTGTGATTATGACATTGTTTGGAGCAGGGCGGGCAAGGGCAGCAACCTGCAGAGAAACTCGGGTGCTCCTGGGCTGGCAGGAGAGGGAGGAGAGCCCTTGTGATAAAGGGTTTCACATGCCAGTATTTTCCTTTGAGTTATTTAAGGCTTCTCAGCCTGTGTTTGTGTGAGGTATCACTAATTCCCTTCCATGAATGACACCCCCTGCCACCAAAAGTTAATCAGAGAGAGAGAGAGTACAGAGAAAAGGAAAAGCAAAAACTTAAAAAAAAAAAAAAAAAAAATTAAAATAAAATCACCATTGGGTGAGATGTACGTGATCTCTGATCACACCTCTTCTTTGTACCTGTTCCTGATCCCACCATGTCCCTGCTGGGGGACTCGCACATGGCGTCGGCCAGGCGCTCCCGCAGGCCCTCCTCCGTGTGCTCCATGGACGACATGTGGCGCAGGCCGAAGTTCTCGGGCCAGCTCCCGCACACCTCCAGCAGGGTCACGCTCCGGTCGAAGGCACCTGAAAGAGACCAACGGGACACGGTTGGGATGCACCGGCACCGACCTCCTTCCCACCCCACCCTGCGGAAGGGACGGAGCCCTTCGCGCCTTGGGGCCGGGGAAGCTTATTTGAGCAGCTTGGTTGTAAGTGTTGGTGCTACCAGCACAGCAGGGCAGGCAGAGCCCTAAATAACGACCAACCTTGACCAAGCGGTTGTAAACAAAAAGGTTAAATTAAAACACAGCCCCAATTATGGTCTCGCACCGACGGGAGTCACAAAAGCAGCTAATAATGCGAATGTGAATGATTGTGGAATGTTAAAAGAAATATATATATATTTTTAAGTGTGTGTTAGACATCTAGAAGTAATTTTTAAAAAGTTGATTTGTCTTGGTGTTACCAGCACAGCAGGATTAGGTAGAGCCCTGAGTACTGACCAGCTTTAACCAAGCAACTCTAAGCAAAAAGGTAAAATTAAAAATACAGACCCAATTCTGGTCTCACAGCAGTGAGAGTCATGAAAGCAGCACAATAACAAAACGTGAATGACATGCAATGTTAAAAATACACACATATGTTTTTAAGTATATGTTAGACAACTAGAAATTGCTTTTAGAGTTGATTTGTCTTCCACTGGGCTGCTGCTGAGATCCCCTTCTTACCTCACACAATGGAAACAGCCAAGTCAGTTTGCCAATAGGCAGAAATTTCAGCTAAAACCCCTTTCTTGCTCTTAAACAGAGAACTGCAACAGCGTGGCAGAGCTGCCTGGTGTCTGAAGTGTGCCTGCTGAAGGAAGAAAGCGAGCCCTTCCCTCAGTCTGGGATATCTGTGGGTTTTCTCTGTTCCTGCCTGGTGAAGTTTTAGGTCAAACGTGCTCCAGCAGAGACTCTTTCACCAGCAGCACGTTACTGAAGATGCTGGTTCTTGTGAGGGAGCGCACGTACCTACAAAAGATACTTCAAATAACCCCTTGACTCGCAGTTATTACCTCATTCACAGCAGGGGATGATGTTCTGCCGAACGCAAAGATTAGATTCTGAATTCAAGATCACTTCAAAGTACAAATTAAAATTATTCTCCTTTATTATACGGCGAGTCTTCTGCGAAGGCTTACTTAAATCATTCCCACTTGGAACAAGATTACAGTTATGCTTTGTTGCTTCAAGCACATACCATTTGCTCCACTATTAGGTAACTGAATATGCAGCGTTTATTGTGCCTGGTTTCTGCCAGCCTACCGAGCTGGGGGGGGGGGGGGGGGGTGGAAAATGCAAATGCCAATGGTTTCTCAAAGTTAAAAGTACATGAAACACGTCCTTGTTATCAGGCCTTTGGTTTTCCCCTTTGATCAGCCGTCAGAAACTATCTACACTTGTAGTCTGTGACTGTACAGCTTCACAACACACCCCCTGCCACTGACAGGTGGTAATAGAAAGGGTGAGAGACCAAGCCCCGCGGCAGGCGTCCCTTCCTCTGATAACGTCCAAAGTACCGGGTGATAACCGTTAGTAAACACTCGGGCAGCCAGTTAATCCATACATCAGCAAAGAGGGGCAGATAATTTTGAACTCTAATGGCATGGACAAAAGCACCAGGGCTGGCATTTCAGGGATTTATATGGGCTGCAATGGTGACTTCTGGCTCCTGAATTTCATCGGCGCGCACGACTTTTGATTTATCTCCTCGCCTGGCTGCAGAGTGGATTCCTGGCACTAGAAAACCATCAACACTAAAATGGACCTCTACAAAATGGGGCCGTGGCTCTTGTGTGATACATGCACTTGAACTCTGGATGAATCCCAGTTTAAACCAAGAGGAGGAATGACCAAATATTTCAACTTTTAATGGGTCTTTGGATTTATAAGGTTGCTCCAGTCTACTAATTTGTTTTAAAGCAAGGGTTCTTGAGGTTTGTTTGAGAAAATGCAGCAAGAAGGAGAAGTGATTCTGATGATGTCTAAGTCTCTGAAACATTTTCACGATGTCAGCTTTCCTAAAGGCAGGAGGAAAAGCAAAACTTGGGTCTTTTTTTGAAGCTTTTTTTCCCCCCAAGCCATCCTTCTATGGTTTCATGCAACCCTGAGCCTCCCACTCTGCACATACTCCAAGACCCCCCAGATCTCAGCTGGTTTTGACAGGGCTGTTCACATACCCAGAGAGCCACTGGGGGGGCTTTTAAACCTGCTTCCCAAACCCCAGGGAAGCAGCGGGGGGATGATGAGCTCCCACAGGTTTGCAGGGCTGCGGCAGAGATGAGAAATCTCCTCTTTCCTGGTGTCTGCCTTTATTCCTAAAGTGAGAAATGGGAGCATTTCTGCTCCTATAAGCAGACATATGAATAATAAGGCAAATGGCTTTTGAAGCTCTGCCAAGATGCCTGCTTATGTGTACAGGGAGAAACTTGGTGGAGCGCCGGGCTCTGGCTCCTGAGATACTTGAGTGAGAGCAAAGGAGACAAGTGCAGCGTTACCCCTGCAATCAGGGCCAGGAGCTGCCAAAACTTCTTAGCAGCAACGTGTGAGGTTGCAAGTGTTAATGCAAATGCAGGTTAGAGGGATTAACTGCACTGGAAGTTTTCTTGTTAAAAAAAAAAAAAGAACTGTAAGGCTGGGGAAGCTCTAGTTTTATCTTTCCTCCCTTTTCACTCCTTCTCCATGTTAGCAGTGCACATCTGGCAATGCCATCGATGTCCAGACATCCAGCTGTGGTTCAGCAGCCACCACTGCAGCCCGTGGGTGACTGCCCTGCCTGTGAGTAACAGGAGAGGTCTGTGCACCAGCATCTGCTCTGTGCTGCAGTGGAACCCACAGATTCCTCCTTACTTCCATACACACACTGACAAAAGGAGTTCCAGATAAAGCTGACCATGCAGAGTGTGACTGAGGTTATTCCAGGTGTAGGGGTAGAAGATGGAACCTTGTTTGAGAAGGCAGGTCCTTTCCTACTGTAAATCCCTGGCTCTGTCCCTTTCTGATGTAAAACAAAAGCACTTCAGGAAAAACAAGACCAGTTGTCACAGACCTTCCTGTCTGTCCTGCCACTGCATCAGCACACAGCACGTGTAACAGAGCAAAATAATTTTTTCAAGGCAGAATTAAGTCCTGGGTATTTTTACACCTTGGAAAATTCTTCTGAGGAGTGTGTGACAGGGCAGTGGGCTGGTTGCTCCCAGGAGCCTGTGGGTGCTTTGCCCTCTGAACATCGTTCCCAACGGCACACGGGTTAATGGCATTAAACTCACGCTGACAGCAGCTCACCCTATCTCTGCTATTTATTAAATTGTAATCTCTCTCTCTCTCCCTGGCTGCCTTGCTCTCCCCTTTTCAATCCCAGTATCTCACTTGATAACGGATCAAATTCCCCATCGTCGGCCAGCGGGAAGTTTACAAATAAACCTCGGTGGAGCGTCCTGCTCCCAAAATCCCCCAGACCCGCCGCCGGAATGTGCCTGCAGAACCAGCGGGGCTGAGAAAGCTCCTGCTGATTCCAGGGATTACTGAGGGTTGAGAGAAGGCAGGCTTTGCCTTGTGCTGCCACTGACAGACCGCTGAAACCCTACTGACAGCCACCAATATCAGAGCCTGACGTGTGAAGCCCAGACTTCCCTCTGTCCCCCGGCCGGATACGGCTTTGGCGGCGGAACAGGTTCCACCTAAAAGGAGCAATTCATTTAGAAACAACTCGAGAACCAGCAAATTAGGTATTATTTGAGTCAAGCAATTACTAGTGAAATCCTGGTGAAACCTCATTAAATCACTGAAAAAAAATCCCTTTGACTTAAAATTATGTCAATATTTCATCCTATCTATCGCACGGTGTTTTCAGGCCAGCAGAGCACTCACTCCTCCCCTTATTTACTGGAGATGAAACTGGGTGGGAATGAAGACCACCAGCCTTCTTTGTATGATGTCCAAGCACCATCCCAGACTCACAGCACCACCAATAAAAAACCCCAGACCAACCCAAATGGATCAAACAGGACCCCTGGCTTGACCATCTAAGTTAAAAGAGCTTTGTTTTGCAGTTCCAGGGTGTTTGGCTTTACACTGCCCCAAACTGAGCTAATTCTGCTCCACACACAGGATTTTCCTATTAAAACTTTAATTTTTGCCTGAAAACAACCACCCACTTCTCCCCTTCCATGGACATTTTGCCTCCCAAGGAGCACTGCCCTTTCCTCCCACCTCTGCCACCGGAGCAGCATCAGGTTCCCATCTTTCTTTTTATTAATGGCAAAGGCTTCTGTTATTACTCACACCAAATTACCTTGCTTGGACACACAGGATTTAGCACTGCAATTGTTTCAAGGCTTTTAATATAAAAGCAAAATAAATTCTACAGAAGTAATTAAAAAAAAAAAACCCACCCTAAAACTTGGAAATGTCCTTTCATTTCCCAGCCCCACCAACTGAGAGTGAGAAAACCAGAGAAACTTATTTTCTTCTCTGAAAAAACTTAGTAGTAAAAACTATTTTTACAAAATGTTTTAATGCTCCTAGTGTGTTATTTTTCTAAGTCAAAATAGCTAAGCTAAATCTTTCACCATAGCCCTTTAATTCGAAAGCCAGGGAAAATTTTTTTCATTAAACCTCTGGACGGCTTTGTTTAAAATATGAAATCAAGTAGCTCCATTTCCTGTCTTCTAAGGAACAGTAAATCAAAAAGAGAACGTTCTCCAAAAATACAGTAATGGTTCTATTAAAGAGCTTGACAGTTTTGAGCCTCACCTTGCATATTGCAACATAAGTGTGGGCAAAAATAACAGAGTCAATGGGGAAGGAGGGGGGAATGACCTGCCAATTTCCACCGATAGAAGATGCATCCTGATCAACGGGATGGGGTTTGACCCTGCGTGATGTTGGACCCTGGAGTGTACCAAGAGGGGCTTGGAGGGACAGCAGGGGTTGCCCATCACTTCCCCTGCCTCTTCAGGAGCAAGAGAGGGCTTTGAAGGAAGTCCCAACCCACTTGGCCCTGGCCATGCTGGTGAGCACAGTGGGAGCTGCCCAGAAACA